CGCAGCCCGCGGCCCGACCCGCACCTTCACTTCCGGCCCGGCGAGACGCGCCGGGACGCTCGGTCCTCCAGCCCCACCCCGTGTCCCTGACTGACGCGAGCGAAGACGAGGAGTCCACCCCTTGCCCCGCCTCCGCCATCCCCCGGCTCAGATAACAAAGGACTACATCACCCAATGACCACCGCGCTCCTGACGTAGTGTGCACATGAGCAGAATCTCTAAATCGGGTCCGGCGCTTTCCTCAGCCCTTCCGATCCGCCTCCGGAAACCTGTGGACTACAAGTCCCAGAAGGAGCCAGGCCCTCCAGAAGTCTAACCGCGCGTGCACTTCTCGTTGCGCGCCGGAAGACTGAGTCTGGCTGTGTTTATCTCGTTGGAGATTTAGGCGTTGGTTGGCAGGCCACGGGTTCTAGGCTGCAGGCAGCGCGAGGACCCGCGACCTCACCCCGGCCCGGCCTGGCAGGTACCCTAGGAGAGATTGATGAGCAAGAATTAGGGGGCCTGGTGACGTGCATGCCTAAAGCTGGAGTCTTGGGGGAGGGGCCCGAGAGTGATGCCGTGGGGGTGGGAAGGGACCTGGGGGATGACGGGAAAGGAGAGTGTTAATGGGGAAGCGAAGGATTGGGGAGGATGGTGGGAAGACGGTTGGGTGAGACCTGGTGGCTGGAGCAGGCAATGAAGGAAATTGAGGGAAGGCTGAGTTGTGAGGAGGACGAGGAAGCTGAGCATAATGGAGAGGGAAGTGTGTGTGGCGATGGGGAAGCTCAGCAGGGAGAAGACAGGGATGGGGTCATATTCAGGGGAGAAAATCCGTGGATGAAAGAGGACAGTGAATTACTAGTTTTTCTTCCCTTCTTGGAGGTAGAAAAATGGATGTTTCTTGATTGGATCTGGGAATTGTAGAAGAAGGAGAAAACGAGAAAACTGGAAAGCTTGCAAATTAAGAAGAGCCATAGAGGGGGGCTGAGAATTGCAAGAGACCACAGACGGGGATCAATGTTTTAACGGAGTAGAAGCAGCTTGAAAATGCCGTAGGGCTAGAGGATTGGGTAAACCCAGATTAGAGGAGCCCCTGAGACCCAGGGGCTTGTTCTTCCTGAGTCTGAGTTGTCCTTATGGAGGAGAAGCTAAGATGCTTTGTCCACTTTTGCTGGAATTGCTTGTGTCTCCCGTGTGCATTTTTATATGCACTCTATCTGACTGTATCTGAAGTCGGGTAGGAGATGTGGGGAAGATGAAGGATTTAGCTTTTTAAGCCTTTCACCTGTCTTAAGTGCCCCCCCCAGCCCAGGTCAATCACACTTCTGATTGAGAACTGAAGTAATGAATGCGAAGTAGCTTCTGGCTGGGGCTGTTTCAGGTTGGGTCGGGTGGCTATTTAAAGCTGGGGTGTGGGGTTGGGGAGGTTGGGTGGGTGGGACCGGCAAGCTGGCTGAAAGCTATGTCTCCATCCTGAAAGGGGCCTTCCTTATTTGAGCCTTTTGTGTGTGTGTGTGTGTGTGTGTGCGCGAGTGTGTGCGCGCTTATGCGCGCGCCTGGGCTTCTTCCTAGCTATAATCCGGAAAAAGGCCCCCCTTATTTGAGCCTTGTGTGTGTGTGTGTGTGTGTGTGGGTGGGTGTGTGTGGGTGTGTGTGTGTGTGCGCGAGTGTGTGCGCGCTTATGCGCGCGCCTGGGCTTCTTCCTAGCTATTCTCTTTGCCAAGCATTTCGAACAGGGAGCAGATGATCTGCCCAAACCCAGCAGGTGCCTGCCAGCAGAGGCATTGCCAGTTGCAAGAGGGTTTGCCTAAAAGAGCCTTCAAATTATCACCAAGTTGTCAGGTTGTCTCTTAAGAAACCATGATCTCTCTTGCCTGGGTCTTTGTTTTTGTCCTGTCCTGGGGCAGTTTTGCTTTCCTTTTCCTTTCCAGTGGACCCCGACCCCGAACCCCTTTTCAGGGGCCCAATTAGGGGAAGAACTGCTGGAAATGGCTTATTCTCTACCACACAGGGTTGGGGAAAGTGGCAGGAGGAGGAGACCTCTTTCCCTACCCCCAGACCCAGCATATACATACCTTCCTGGCTTAAGTTTCCAGTTCTGGCAGCATACCAGGCACAGCTGTCAAAGGAACTCTTCATGACTGTGGGGCCCTGGGTGACCCCAGGGACAGCGGCTCAGCTTGACAAGAACTCCCTGTGAGGGGATAATCAACTATGGTAATGGGGTTCCCTGACCTGGGTAGGGGCACTGCTCTACTTTAAGAGGTTTTTTACTTTAAAGCACCCATGCCAGCTTTCAATGGGCTGGCTGGGCCTGGCTGGGCTATTAATAGCTATGTGTATTTTGATATCCCTACCTTTAAGAGCACAGAGATTCTTAGAGAGATGGCAGAGAACAGAGCCAGAGACAAGGGAGCATACCCGCCTGGGAAGGGGCTTAGAGCTTGTTCCAAACCAAGGACAGGGTGGAGCCTGCATGAGTGGGGTGGGGAGCAACCTTGATCAACCAAGCCTGAGCTGGCCATCAGGTTGAGGCAGCCCCGCCTTTTGCTGTGGGAGAGCACAGGCCCAAGGTTTACTCCTTGACCTCACTAGCTCCCTGGGGGCAGGGCCAGCCACCTGAGCTGACTAGTGTCCCTGTGGAGGGGTGCTGTGGGAGGAGTGCCAGGGTGACACTTGGAGGTGAGGGCTGGTTCTGGGCAGTCTTGGTGAGCTGGGCAGAGGCCTTGCCTGAGGAGCCTGTGGCTCTGATTGTGCGCAGATATCAGAGGCAGCAGGCTGTGCCGGGGGGGCATGTTGCTGTGACCAGTGGCCCAGGGGATGTTACGGTGGACAGTGCATCTGGAGGGAGGGCCACGCAGGGTGAACCATGCTGCAGTGGCTGTCGGGCACCGAGTATACTCCTTTGGGGGTTACTGCTCTGGTGAAGACTATGAGACACTGCGACAGATAGATGTGCACATTTTCAATGCAGGTAAGCCAATGGCTGTCACTGTCCTTGGGGTGCCCACGGCAGGGAGGGAAATAGGTGGCTGGTTGAATTTTGGTGGTAGTCCCTGTGGCCAAGTGGATTTGGGATTCAATGTCTGGTTTGGGAAAGGGTGGACAGCTGAAGGAAGGTTCCCAGGGCTGAACAGAGCTGTGCCCACAGTGTCCTTGCGTTGGATGAAGCTGCCCCCCGTGAGGCCAGCCATCCGCGGGCAGGCTCCTGTGGTTCCCTACATGCGCTATGGACACTCAACTGTCCTCATCGACGACACGGTCTTCCTTTGGGGTGGGCGGAATGACACCGAAGGAGCCTGCAATGTGCTCTACGCATTTGATGTCAGTGAGTAAGGGGCCTCAAAAGAGAAGCTGTGCTTTGCCAGATGGTGCTTAGGGGTCTGGGAAAGGTGTGGTTGAGCCAGGGGGAACAGGGTACCCAGAGTTTAGGAGGGAACATCTGAGGATGCTGACCTGGCTCATTCTCTTACTTTCTTTAGATACCCACAAATGGTCCACACCCCGAGTGTTGGGAGCAATTCCCGGGGCCCGGGATGGGCATTCTGCTTGTGTCCTCGGCAAGATTATGTACATTTTTGGGGGCTATGAGCAGCTGGTAAGCCTGGGGAAAACTGGAATTTTAGTATGGGAATGATAAAGAGGAAGAGAAATTAAACAGTGGAGTGGGAGGCTTTGGCTGTTTGTAGGTTTAAGGGGAAGGCTGGAGGGTCAGTGTGACCTTGGCCCCTCTTTTCTAACTTTCTCTGCTCAGGCGGATTGCTTTTCCAATGACATTCACAAGCTGGATACGAGCAACATGACGTGGACTCTCATTTGTACAAAGGTCTGTCTTTTCTTCCTCTTCTAAGAGCCCCACGCTTCATAGAAGAAATCAGGGGAGTTCAAACAGAGCAGCTTCCCTCCCAACATCCATGCTGACCTGCCTCGCCTCTCTGCTCCTGCCCAGGGCAACCCTGCACGCTGGAGGGACTTCCACTCTGCCACAATGCTGGGCAATCACATGTATGTGTTTGGGGGCCGTGCTGACCGCTTCGGGCCATTCCACTCCAACAACGAGATTTACTGCAATCGCATTCGTGTCTTTGACACCAGAACCGAAGCCTGGCTGGACTGTCCTAACACGCCAGTGCTGCCTGAGGGGCGCCGGAGCCACTCAGCTTGTGAGTATCTGTTATTTCCGGTGGAGTCCCGTCCTGCCCTCCTCACTCTTTGTTGAAACGGGGTTTTGCTAAATTGCCAGGCTGGGATTACAGGCGTGTGCCACAAGCCCTCTGCTCTCCACACTCTTGACACTTCTCTCTCCTTCCAGTTGGCTACAACGGGGAGCTGTACATCTTTGGTGGCTATAATGCAAGGCTGAACCGGCACTTCCATGACCTCTGGAAGTTTAATCCTGGTAAAGAGCACTATCTTTAGGGCAGAAACAAGGAGCAACTGAGGTGGGAGGAAAGGAATAACCTTCCTGAGTAGGTGTGGGCCTGGGGAGTGAAGGTGCCTGGACTGGGCAGGTGTTGAACTTCTGTGTAAACTTCTCTCTAGTGTCTTTTACCTGGAAAAAGGTTGAACCGAAGGGGAAGGGGCCATGTCCCCGCCGGCGCCAGTGCTGCTGTATTGTTGGTGATAAGATTGTTCTTTTTGGGGGTACAAGGTGAGGAGGAGAGGAGGGAGGGCTCAGGGAAGGGCAGAGGTCTGTGTGTGACTAATAGGGGAGTGGGAGGTATCTGAGCAAAAGGGTCTTGTGGGGAGTTTTCCCTCTTACCTTCAGCTCTTTTGATCCCTACAGCCCATCTCCCGAGGAGGGCCTAGGAGATGAATTTGACCTCATAGATCATTCTGATTTACACATTTTGGATTTTAGTAAGTAGTTACTTCTGAAGTGCTTCTCCTCAGCAGGGTACTGTCCTTGGGTGGTGATGGGCAGGACTGGACCTTTCCTTGGCTTTGACCAGCTTCCTCCCCAACTCTCTTTTAAGGCCCTAGTCTGAAGACTCTGTGTAAACTGGCGGTGATTCAGTATAACCTGGACCAGTCCTGTTTGCCCCACGACATCAGGTACAGTGAGTGCTTGCAAAGGAGGAACTGGCGGGCTGTGGGGTGGGGGTGAGTGAGCAGCACAGGTGTGACCTGATTAGCTGGCTCTCTGTGGAGGACACAGGCATTTTTGTCTTCCTGGAAATGTAATGTTCTTGTGAGTAATGAGATGGAAGGAGCTACACCCACCATGTAATAAAACTGTCAGCTGGGTAAATAATATTGAAAAGAAATTCAGTTTTTTGAAAGAAGCTCGGAGGCATCACTTCCTGAGGCCTGAGCTGAGAGTTGCTTTTGTTAGTATGCTAATTGAGTCTTTCATCTTAATTGCAAAGTACAGTTCAGGAGCTTCTGGATCACCTTAGTTATAGAATTAAGGGAGGACCTGACTTCTCACCTCTGAATTCCATTCTTAGCTTCAGTTCGAGCACCAAAGGTTATTTTACTGGGTCACTGACACTTCCTTCTGCTAGTGTCACTATTGTAACTCTTACTTGCTGAGAGTCTGTGTGTTCCATATTTGAAGACAGGGAGCATACAGGTTGAACTGGTGGGTCCCAGGCTGGCCCAGGATTGACACACGTGCAAGTGCCTGATACCAAGTAGACTGCTTAGGTCCTGGCATAAGGACGTACTTAGTCAACCTTTGCAGAATGAAAGGATTGTGGAAAAGAGAACAATTTAATTTTAATATGGTAGGATGGGTTGGGGAAACTTCAGGGAGGGCAGGAGATCTGAGTCAGGCCAAGTTTAAAACATCAACAGGAAATGCACTTGAGGTTGGAGGTGAAAGGGTGGGTGGCAGGATCTGTGGTGGGTGGGGACTAATCCTTGGACCCAGGAGAGCTGAGGAGAAGAGGTGGCCATGGGTGGTTGAACTTTAGAAAGGTATTGCTGCGTTCATAGCTTCATTCAAGGAATTGTGGGCTTGGGGTGGGGAGCTCCGCTCCCCCTCTGCCCTTTCTAAAGACGGTTGGTCCTTCAGGTGGGAGCTGAATGCCATGACTACCAACAGCAATATCAGTCGCCCGATCGTCTCCTCCCACGGTTAGGAGGAGTCTGCCGCCTCCCTCCTGCGTCTGCTGTAGTCTTCAGTGCCCCTGCTACCTCTCACCTGCCTGCCCCCTTTGGACCCGGACTGTTACCTCCACGTGGAGTTGTTGGACTAGAGGAGTTTCCGTGCTGTGAATTCAGTGGGGAGCTGGCGGGAGCGAGGGCCAGGTCCCTCTCCCGTCGGGCCGAGGGCCCCTTCCCCTTGGTGCTCTGTACCCATCCACCTCCCTCCAGCTGCTCCTGAGCCTCTGCTCTGCCCACCCGGCCGGCCAGTAACCGGGCTCTGCTGGGAAGGGAGGCGAGTGGGGAGAAGCGGAAAACGCGCAGTGTCCGAGCCTCAGGAGCCTCCCTCCCCCCGTGCCGTCGCCCCTGCTTGAGCTGCAGCTGTCGGCGAGCGCCCTCCTCTCCCCAGCCGGGGAGACGGGGCTCAGCCGATCACCCCACCCCTCCCTGAGCTGCTGCTGCACCCCAGAGCTCAGCCAGCTCGTTTTATAAAAATGAAAACCTGCTGCGTGTGGCGTGTTCTTGTGGAGTAGCGTGGGGAGAGGGAGGAGTTTGCAGTGGGGCCGGGGACTCAGGGCGTGCGCCCCGAGGTGCCAGCTTCCGGGCAGGAGTGTTAGAAAGCCCGAGCCCTGACGGGATAACGGGTTGAACGGGTGGAACCGACCGGTCTCAGGGAGCAGGGCTGTGCCGGGCGCCGTCTTGGCTTTGGGCGGGGCTGCAGCGATTCCCCTCCCCCCGGCTTCGGCCCAGCCCTTGGGACGCTGAAGCGGGCGGAAGTGGCGTCACGTCGTCGCCGCACCGCGGAAGCTGCCCATGCCGG